AACGCTGGCTTTGGAGGGCGGAGTTAATGTCAACAGATTTTTGGAGGAAGTTACCAACAGAGCTCATTAACATAAACAGCTCTTCTGAACGGAAGTCAGAGCAGGCAGAACTAGAAAATGAGAAATTTTATTATCTGAGAATTATTTTGTGCATTAAATTGAATGAACATGGTCTGGATAGCCCACAGACATACCATAAACATTTCTAGGACCCATAATTGGTCTCCTTTAAGGGCTCGACACACGGGGAGCGACAAACTACAGCGATTAATGGCTGTCATAGCAGCCAGGGTGAAACCTGACACACGGGACGCGATAGCGATTGCAGCGTTGCGAATCGCGCTCTCAGGTTGCTTGTCTTCACGAAATTTGATTGGTCCTTCTACTGCCTCTTGTAAAGGCTATTGGTGTTTCACAAAAAAAGGGGTGTGTGCATTATGGACGTGTAAACTAAACAAATTTTGCGATGCTAATGATATTGAAAAACAAACACACCAAGATACAATTTTATGAGGAAAAGCTTACCGGATAACTTCACCCTGGCGCCAACAAATTCCCACGAAGCTGCCATTTTTAGTATTCACTTGGTGAAAGTGTTAGCTAACGGCAGTGTGTAGCATACTCTCCTCTCATTGGTCAGTCAATGAAACCCTCGCTGATTGGTTGTACGCTAAGCGACAGCGACAAAAGTTGAACACATTTCAACTTTCATATGTCGTGTCGCAAGCTCGCGTGTGCACGTCTACGTGTACGAGCGCGAAATTTYACATGCAMTATTTTCGCCRGTCGCTTGGCTGGAGGAGGGCGAGCGATTGTCGCCTCACACAACTTCCATACGAAATGAGTGGAAAGCGAGCGACGTCGCCTCCCGTGTGTCGAGCCTTTTACTAGTTGGTTTAGAGGTATAGTGTGAATTAAGTTTTGGTTCAGGTTAGGGTTAACTACCTTTACAGTTACAAAAATGAATGGAAGTCAATACAATGTCCTCAGTTTGATACAAATACAAGGATGTGTGTGTGTACTTAGAGTCTCTATGAGTGCTGAATTTTTTTATTTATTCTCCCCCAATTTTGCATAGATATATTTACATTCTGTTCTGTTTTGTCATGTTCATTCTCCTCTGCCTCCGGGTCAGACTCTGGCTCYAACATCTACTGTAAGTCTGGATGGACGAGTCGTTGTTGACATATTTTCATTAATTCGTAAATTAAACGTTTCTGCACCACTACATAATCGGAAACCTCTGTCAAACTAGAATGGACCACTCTTGGAAGCTGGAGGAGAGTGACTGGGTGTGAAGCAGTTGAATTTAAAGAGACAGCATCAAAACGAGTTGTGACACGCCTCAGAAAAGGGGTGAAAGAAGGGTTTGTGGAGTTACAATAAGGAATTCAGAGCAAAGTATTGCAGTTTCACTTTGTATAGGCCCCAAGTGAATGAATTAAATGAGAAAAAAACATTCAAAACCATGAAATGTCTCCTTTAAAGGGGCAAAATCATGTAAAATCAACTTTTTTGAGTTTTATATCATGTTATAATGTTCTACTCCCATAAAAAACATGCCCAAAGCCTTGCTTTGGCTCATTCATGCATGTTTGAGAAATCCTGCAGTTTTTTTAGGAAGCCATGCTGAGGAGCAAAACAACAGGTGGGGATCAGAAATGCTTTTTGGGACCATAAACRCCTCTGGGACGTGTCTTTAAGCCGAACTTCCTCATCATGGAGCACACCTCCCCACCCCACACACCCCTGCCCATGACTCCTGCAGGCTCTCGGAAGTAACAGAGCAAAGTGAAAGTGAAATTGAAACTCTCTGCTGAGCTCTCAACACTACTTCTCACTCAGTGAAGCTCTCTTCAGATTCAAAATACCTTTGAGGAAATGTATTTTCAGATGCCAAGTAAACTGCATCATAGCGCGCACGAGCACCCCCCCCACTGAAATGGGACGGGACAGAAGAGGAAGGTGGTTCTTAAAGAAACAGAGGCCAGTTTCAAGACGTTTAGAAGAGGAAGTGATGAGAAGATGTTTATTTTCTATTTAAACATAAAAACAGCATTTTAATAACAACTAAAGGTGACATAGATACTTTATTATGGTATAGTACTTAAATGTATGCCTGAGAAACACATAATATTGCCCCTTTAAAGGTTAGGAAATGTGACTATATCATGGGTAARGCTTTCCAAATATTAATGATTGTTAAATTTGTCACTGACATAAAAATGTTTATCCAGTGACTGAACTGAAAAATTAGAAAACTAGCCGAAACAACCAGCAGACCTCAGTGATGCGTGGGTTGGTACACTTGACATTCCTGGCAGAAAGGTCCAGCCACCGGCTCGCGTACGGGGAGATGGGGGGGCAGTGTTGCCTCATGGTGCACCGGCCCTCGCCGCTGCACCAGCCGCACTGGAACTTGCGCTCCGCCCGCAGACACATGCCGCAGCTGTCCCTCTGGGCGCCGCACTTGTAGAGATGCACTGCAAGACATTACGCCGCGACAGAAACGCCTTTTTTAGGTAACAACAGACGAGAAACGGCACTTATTTTACAAAGTCCTGAAAGCTTATAAAACGCAATGTGTTTAAAGAGATAAATACAATTTCAAAACAGCAGGGAGTACTGCTGCTTTTCTGCTCAAACAGTCATGAAATAACCAACTATTTGATAACACCGAATAATAAAAAACAGGCATTCAATCTTGTGAATTCAGCTAAAAATGAGATATTTCTATAAAAAGAATGTTCCCAAAGCAACCCAATAAGCCTTTTTAGTGTTCTTTTTTCTCCCTTTTTACATCATCTAATGTAAAAAAAACTCACATTAACCTTTTTGTAGTCCATTGATGTAATTTGAATGAAAACAAGCAATAACAAGATTCATGGCCTCACAAAGAGCATTCTGGATTGTGTAGATGTTGTTAAAGGCCACTACATCAATAGGCATCTCTTGCACAGTAGAGGGGGAAATTAGAATCTGACCAAAAGCCATGATGGTGAAATATGAAAATCCACTCTTCACATGGGCGTACGAGTGATTTGGTGCTCTTTGATAGCGCTCCCTGCTATTGTGAACTTTCTCTCAAGGCCTTTTGTGAACCTTGAAGTGTTTGCTATAAACTATCCGCCGCCTGTGGATTGAGTGCTTTACACTCCTCCGGCTTGGCAGTGATGGATGGCAGAGGCACCTTTAATCTTCTCGGGATTGTCGATGATGAAGTTGCCGTTCCATACGATGGAGAGGTCYACTGCCAGGTCACTGATCTTCCCACCCTCGTACATGTACTGAAAAGCAGAAACAGAGATTGAGGGAGAGTGTCCAGAATATAGGAACGGGGGGGAGAGTGAAACCTCAGACGTGGGGTAGAGTGAATAAAAAGGATATGGAAAGAGACAGAGTGGGGAAAATGAGAGGATGAAAGGGCAGCGGAGAGACAATGCTTTTAACCATCTGTCATTTCCTGCTATTGTTGTCTGCTCCTCTCCTGTTTGACATGTAGGGACACAAACCCAAGCAGGGGTGACCAATCAAGCACATCTGAGGAAAATGGCCTTTTTTATACATCATCACAGTTGCAACTGTGCAACTACTTTTTAATGCACGTGGCTAATCAGCCTATCACGTGGCAGCATTTAGATGCAGTAGAAATGAGGCGGTGAAAAGCTGAGAATTGGGACGTGGCAGAAAGAGGATTTAAAGTGCCCGTGACATCAAATTTTTGTCATAAGTTTGAATTCATTTTTGGAAAGACAACACTGATAACATATTGCAAAACAAATTCCACGCCGCTGAGATGAACAGTTGTTGAGATATTTGCATGTAAAGTAACAGGAAGTGATGTCAGAGGGGAATGTCTGCATATACGCAGAGCATTGATAAAATGTCTGACAGCACAGACTGTAGAGAAGAATCTGATGTTTCTTTAGATCATTTTGAGTCACTATCAGATGGAGAGTCAAAGTTCAAACAAATTCATAAATTTACAAAAAAAATTGCATTTTGTCAAAACATAATGAATGAATGTCTTATGAATGTATCATTAGAATGAACTGTCTGAAATATAATCATAAAACAAATTTTTGAAGCAATTTTTTGAGCAGTCGCAACAAAAAATTTGATTTTAAGGAAAAAAGCTTTCAAATTTTGAGATTTTCCCTGTGAGCTAGCAATGTTTTGTTTCTTTTCAGCTGGGAAATCTTAATATTCAAATAT